TGTAGTTGCCTAAAATAGCCGCTAGAGGGCGCATTATGTATGTGATACGTAGTAAATCCAGTAGACGTGAGCATTGCATGCTGGGATAAAAAAAAACACCTCAGCTAAGCCTGATGGTAACAACTCACCATACAGCCACGAGTGAAGTTGATGGCATTTTATGGAAGAAATACTGTTTGTTCTCATGTTTATGAGTCTGTACTTGACCAAAGTTGTTACCAGAGGGTTCCAGACCGCTGCGACCGGAGGATTTGCTTTCTTTTGTTTTATATGATGAGGACTCCGGGTGAGTGTGACTAGTTAGCATGCTACGTTGTTAGCGGACATGTAATTTTTCTGTTATTTATGATTAAGCAATATTGAACCTTTCTTATCAACAAAAACCAATTGGAGTCAACTGTAAATGTTATGGAGACATTGCACTAGTTAATATGCTAGATTTGTTTTTAGAAATGTAATTATTTTAATGAGAACGGTAAGTTTTTACTGCGTCATTTCTGGGCGCCATGTTCAAGTGTTAGAAAGTTAAAAAATGATGCTAATGCTCATGATTTGTATACATATGGTTTTTCTAATATATCAATAATTGTTACAGTTCATGTTGAGATGATTAAAAATACTATAATAAGAATTGAGGACATTGCATTGATTAGAGATGAGGGATAAATTTGTAACATGATTTATTAATACTGTTAAAAAGAAGGAAAAAAACATAATGTATGTCTCGGAGGTTTTAAGGTCTCAGGATATAGTTCTTCATTCCTTTTGTGGTCAGTATTATAAGTTACCACTTGGAGTTAAAAAAGAGAGTATAATACTGTACAGTAAATTATTGATAATAATTAATTTTATTTCCTGCTATGCAAGATTGTTTTTTTTGAGTTGCTGATCTACATTCTGCAGCGTCGATTCCAACCAGGTTTCCTGTCTGAAGCGAGGCAGGGTTAGAGAGGATCTGGATTCTCCATCTTCATCATCTTCCTGAAGATTCATGCCTTGAGCAGATCAAGATCTAAGCTGCGCCGCAGCAAACATAACAAATCAAACACTACACAATCCTACCCGGGTAGCACATACACCATTGAATACACTTGGAACGGAACATGGATACAAGAACTAAACTCTTTGGAGGGAATGGACTTTGGGATAACATTGGATATCAGGACAAGCAATAGCTGGTAAATAGACACTTTACTTTCAGTTCTTTTATTCTTTTATATATTGGGATTTGATCTGAATCGTAATTTGACTACTTTTTGTTGATTTGATAATAAATATCTCTGTGTTTATTTTAACATTAATCCATCCTCGCTGCTCCCAGTTTAACCTGTAGGTACAGGTTATTCAATAAGTTTGTTCTTACTGGGTTACATTAGCCCATCAGTGATCTGTGCCTGAGTGGTGACACTTGATATCTGCAAAAAATGTACAAACCCCTGCCTGCTGCAGATGAGCGAGGACAGCAAACGTCAAAGGGTTAACAATTGAAAACAGGCACTTCAATAAAAAATGGACAATGAATTTGCAAATTCTATCCTAAAGCATGCAAGCATGTATGCAAAGTTGCTAATATCAGGTGCCATCACAAGCTTCAGGGCAGCATTCCTGCATGGTTGTGCCGCAAAAAATTTAAGAATTACAGTCTACATTAATGTCTTCCTATTAGTTAGTTTCTGATGACCAGCTTGCAAGTGTACGGCAGCGTCTGCCATCAGTGTATGGGTGAATGTGATTTGTAGTGCAAAGCGAAAACTAGAAAGGTATATAAATGCAGTCCAGTTACTCTATAGTTAACATACAAATATGACAGTGGCGTCGATCTTCTCATTTTCTTAGTAGGAAAGCTAATAAGCCTATAAAAATATTCAACCTATTCACTTCTTTAAAGTAAACTCAAATCAACTGCAGCGTCAAGTCACTGTGAACATTAAAAAGCACTCATCAGCACACAGCCAGATTCTATTAAAACCTTTGAATGATGAAACAGCTTCATCTCATTCAAAAAACAGCATTCATCAAACTTTTAAATGTGACACTCAGGTGCCCTAATTTGACCCTTCAGTTTGTAATTTTAGCAACACCCAGAAGGAAGATTTTATCTTGACAGCCAGCTCTATAAATATGATGAGATGAGGTTGAGAGTCAGCATCGTCAGATCTTCTGATATTCCTAGACAGCTTCCTAAAGGTGAGTAGATCACAAAATCTAGAAATGCAGCTGATTAAAAAGGAAATGAGACTTAACAGTAAGCAATGAATATGAGATTTCATATCTGATAGATTGTTATATTTATAAATGAGATTTTTGGGGTTTCACCCATGGAAACACACACACACACACACACACACACACACAATTAACCTGTTTATTTGAAACACATATTACTTACATTTCTCAACATTTTTGCACACACAAGGTATAAAGAGCTTATAAAATATGATGCTAAACTACCCAACAGTTTATACAAGTACAGCTCAAACAATTATTTGATTGTTATTGGACTGTTGGATGGACAAACATTGTGAAGGTGTCACTTTGGGCTCTTTCTCACAACATTTCTCATTATATTTGAACAACAAAAAATCAATGCATTGAAAATAATCAGCAGATTGTTGTAATCCTATACAAAACAGTTCAAAATGAGCTCCACCTCAACCAGCTACAATAGGTGATATAATACTACAACTTACAGTGTGATATTAGTACATTTATGTAAGTAAAGAATACTTCCTCCGTCACTGTGTGAAGGAAAATATGAGCATGTGAGAGAAGAATGAATTACACGCAGCTCATAAAAAGATCCTCTTAACACTGTCCTTCGCCGTTTCTTTTCTATTCTTTTCTCTTTCTATTGACTATTCGTTACAATAAATCTGATCTCATTTCCCCTGGACTTTTACATCCTCAGGCACTCATCACAGAAAGCAAAAAATGAGCAAACTGGAGTCAGCAATGGAAACCCTCATCGAGGTGTTTAAATACCATTCTTCAAAAGACTGCAACAAGTTCATGCTGAGCAAAGGGGAGCTGAAGAATCTGCTGCGAGGAGAGCTGAACCAGTACCTGGAGGTATACTGACTGACTGTACTGTTACCAGTCTATGTCAAAACCTCTCAATTCATTCAAGAATCATGACGTGAAAAATTACATGATTAGTAATTGGGTTATTTCCTTTATGTTTGTGTTCCAGGCCAGCAAGGACCCTGCAAAGGTGAATGAGATCATGTGTGAACTGGACAAGAATAAGGACTGCGCAGTGAGCTTTGAGGAGTTTCTTGTTCTGGTGACTAAGCTGACTGTGTGCGGAGCCGGCTTCTTTCAGGACTACTGTACTCCTGTGATTATCACATGTTGCCATAGGTAAAGACGGGAAATTTCACACACT